GCTATGCTATGATATGCTGCGCTATGCTATGTTATGCTGCGCTATGCTATGCTATGAGATGCTATGATTTGATGTGCTATATGATGCTATGATATGCTATGCTATGGTAAGCTAAGCTATGCTATGGCATGCTATACTATGCTGCGCTATGGCTATGATATGCTATGATATGATGTGATGCGCTATGACATGCTGCGCTATGCTATGCTATGATATGTTATGTTATGTTATGGTATGCTATGCGATGTTTTGCTATGCTAATACTGCGCTGCGCTAAGCAAAGCTAAGCTGAGCTAAGCTAAGCTAGGCCAGGCTAGGCTAAGCTATTCTAAGCTAAACTAGGCTAGGCTAGGCTGAGCTAAGCTAAGCTAAGCCAAGTTAAGCTAGGCTAAGCTAAGATGAGATAAGCAACGCTAAGCTAAGGGGACGTAACTGGGGGAACCGCGGGGCGGATGCCGGGGGAACCGCCCGGGGCGCTTTCCACTGCCCGGCCCCTTTCAGCTAAGAGAGTAAGAACCCTCTAGGCAGAGCCTAGGTAGGGAACTAAGGTGACGTAGTAATCCAGGGACGGCTCGACTTGTTCAAGTCGCCGGCAATCTATAGCTCCCGACCCCTCTCCTCGGCGCCGGCGCCAGCGCGGGCACGAGAGGCGGAGCGCCCTCTGGCCTCCCCGGGGAAGGCTTCGGCCCACGGGGGTACACAGCCGATGGCGCGAAGGCCAGGCGAGAAGTGAGGATATATCGGCGGCCTCTGTGGGCCTCCTCCTCCTCCTCCTCCTCCTCCTCCTCCTCCTCCTCCTCCTCCTCCTCCTCCTCCTCCTCCTCCTCCTCCTCCCCCTCCCCTCCTCCTCCTCCTCCTCCTCCTCCTCCTCCTCCTCCTCCTCCTCCTCCCTCCTCCTCCTCCTCCTCCTCCTCTCCTCCTCCTCCTCCTCCTCCTCCTCCTCCTCCTCCTCCTCCCCCTCCCCCTCCCCCTCCTCCACAATTACTCAATATGAATACTACTCTCCCTCTTCCCCTGATGACGTCTTGGGAGAGCCGCCCCCCCCCCGCGTACTGTTTTTTTCACAGGCTGAGGCTGGCAGGCAGGCTGAGGCCGAGGCTGAGGCAGGCAGATGAGGCTGAGGCTGAGGCTGAGGCTGGCTGAGGCTGAGGCTGAGGCTGCTGCAGGCTGAGGCTGAGGCTGAGGAGGCATGAGGCTGAGGCTGAGGCTGAGGCAGGCTGAGGCTGAGGCTGAGGCTGAGGCTGAGGCTGAGGCAGGCTGAGGCTGAGGCTGAGGCTGATGCAGGCTGAGGCTGAGGCAGGCTGAGGCTGAGGCCGAGGCTGAAGGCAGACTGAGGCTGAGGCTGAAGCAGGCTGAGGCTGAGGCTGAGGCTGAGGCTGAGGCTGAGGCAGGCTGATGCTGAGGCTGAGGCTGAGGCTGAGGCTGAGGCTGATGCAGGCTGAGGCTGAGGCAGGCTGAGGCTGAGGCCGAGGCTGAAGGCAGACTGAGGCTGAGGCTGAGCAGCTGAGGCTGAGGCTGAGGCAGGCTGAGGCTGAGGCTGAGGCAGGCTGATGCTGAGGCAGGCTGAGGCTGAGGCTGGCTGAGGCTGATGCAGGCTGAGGCTGAGGCAGGCTGAGGCTGAGGCCGAGGCTGAAGGCAGACTGAGGCTGAGGCTGAAGCAGGCTGAGGCTGAGGCTGAGGCAGGCTGAGGCTGAGGCTGAGGCAGGCTGAGGCTGAGGCAGGCTGAGGCTGAGGCTGTGACTGCGACTGCCGTTGCCACGGCGACTGTCATCGCGAATGCGATTGCGACTGCGAGAACAGCAGAATTCTACAACTGGATTCTCATCTGACTCTTAAGGGGAATGCTTCCAGATATGCTCCTACACATCGCTGTTAGGTTGCTTTGCCGGGATAATTTGACACACAGGTTTCCCCGGAGTTGGGTTTTCGCCTGCATTTTTTTTTTTTTTTTTTTTTTTTTGTGTTCCAAAATGCTGCTCTCGCTGAGGCGCCGGCCTCATTTTCGGGCCCCGTTCGTTCCGAATCGTGCTCCCGCTGCAGCGCTGGCATCATTTCCGCCGGCGCCTGGGCTGCACGCCCGAGCCGGCGCCCAGGCCAGCGCTCTGGCCAGGTCCGGAGCCGGTTCCGGCCGGCGCCGGAAAATCGAGGTCCGAGGCGGCGCCGAAAAAAGGCCATTCCAATACACTTTTTTCTTTTTCGAAAATGCTGAATTTCTGCTTATGGCGCGACGCCTCCCGGGCCGATTCCGACGCCCGGGCCGGCGCCCGAGCCGGCGCCCGGGCCGGACGCCCGAGCCGGCGCCCGGGCCGGCGCCCAGGCCCGGTCCGGGGCCGGGCCCGGCCGGCGCCGGAAAATCGAGTTCCGAGGCGGCGCCGAAAAAAAGCCAGTCCAATACACATTTTCCTTTTGAATGCTGAATTTCTGCTTCTGGCGCCCGGGAAGCCTCCCGGGCCGATACCGGCGTGCTTCCGCTCGTTCCGAATCGCGTTCCCGCTGCAGCGTTGGCCTCATTTCCGCGCTTCCGCTCGTTTCGAGTCGTGCTCCCGCTGCAGCGCTGGCGCCATTTCCCGTGCCATGCCACGGCATGCAATGCAATGCTAGGTTGATACTACGCTTCGCGGTGCTCTTCTACGCCATGCCACGCCGTGCTCTACAATGCATCGCGTGCCCTTTCGGGATCATTGCCCTGCTCAACATCCGATTGTGCGAGTAGAGAGGGGATCTGCGCCATGGTAAGGGATGGGAGGGACGGGTAGGATGCCAGATATGACGCGATCACACCTAGCTTGTCCTCCTCCCCCTCCCCTTCCTCCTCCCCCTCATCCTTCTACTTGCAGAATCGTCCAATGCCTGAACGGCTCGCGCGGACCGCGCGAGCCGTCCAGGATTGGACGGTCGTTGTCGCGAGAGCCGTTCGGCATGCCGAGGCCCACGTCAATGCTGACACCGTGCGAGCCGTTCAATGGCGAACTCGGAAAGTGGAGCCCACGTCGTCGCCTCGGGACCCTGCCGCAGCCCTCCTGCGCCCCCAGCCATGCTGGCTCAAGATCCGGGCGAAGTTTCGCCCCCACTTGGCCAGACCCCCGCCTTGCCTTGGCGTGAAGCCGAGGTGACGCTTCAGGAACTTGGTTTATTTTTCCCACGCCTCGTCGGAATCCAAAGCCTGGCACGATGGTGATGGATTACCCCTCGCGCGTATCCACGCCGGGGGGCCCAGCCAGGATCGAGGGGCACCACTTGTGCACCTACACCGATCCTGGCCAGGCCAATCCTGGGCCCAGGCTTGGTGCACGTGCCTTCCTGTCAAGCCAGGAGGGCGTATGCACCGATCCTGGGCCCAGGATGAGCCTGGCCGGTGCAGAGGCATAGTTGGCGTCCTCCTGAAGGAGGCGGCCCAGCTCGTGCGGCCAACTGGCACCGCTCGAGCCGTGCAAGGCGGGCCGCAAGAGCCTGCCGCCGTCCCCGAACGAGGGCGGAGAGCCGCTCATGGCGGCCCGCAGGTCTACCACCAGAAGATGTCCGTGTCCGCTTCGGAGTCGTGCCCTGGGATCTCGAGCAGCGGTGGATATGGATGTCTGGCCACCCGCATGGGCGGGCAGGTAGCGCAGCCCACCGCCATTACAGATAAGAGCTGGGGGCGGGCGCGGGGTGGGTCGCGGGGTGGGTCGCGGGTGAGTCGCGGGGCGGGTCCCATGTGGGTCGTGGCTGGGTGGCGGGGGGGACGACAACAACAATCATCATTTTAGGGTTGTTCGCTCTTATCCGCTCGCGTGTCACTTAACACGTATATCCCGAACCCTCGATACCCGACCTCTTCGTCTTCGATCGGGCCTCGCTTGTGGGGATTTCTTCCTTACCTGCCACGTGTAGTTGCCCCTAAATCAGAGGAAGGGAGCGAGGAGGGAGGCGACAAGGGATAGGGAGAAGGCAGGAAGACGAACGAGATAGGGCGGTCAGGAGCACGAAAGCAAGCGGCAGAACCACACGGGCGGAACGGCCAGGCGGACCCTGACGGGCGGGCTGGGCGGGCCCAGACGACAAGTCCCGCGCGAGAGCGCGGTTTTAAAACAATCGCGAGGAAGCATCAGTCGAGAGCCGTATAATTTCTATTTTTCAATAATGGTTGTTGATCGCCTCCTGCGGTGCACCTTGGCATTGTGGCTTTTCAACTGAAGTGCCCCAACAACGACGGCTCTCGCCTGATACTTCTTCACAATGTTCTGAAAGTCGCGCTCTTGCGCGGGATTTGTCACCGTTCATTTTCTCAGAAAGGAAAGTCTTGCGCTTCATCATGTGTTACTATCCCCCGGTTTATATCAACAGCCGCTCCCGCCTGATACTTCCCCACAGTGAACTCAAAATGTTGCTCCCGCCCGGGAGTTCCCCGCAGCGTATACAGGAATCGCCATCTCGCGTGGGACTCCGCTGCAGCTTACGGCGACGCCGCGCCCTCGACACTCAGGAACCACGCTTCCGCTCTGGACTTCCCACGACCTGCCGGGTAGCTGCGCTAGCGCTCGAGACTTCCTTGGCGACCCGTGCGGGCTGCTGCCTCGGCCACCCGCCCGCTCGCCCGGGCCGCCCGCGCCCGCCCGCCCTGCCCGCCCGCCAGGGCCCGCCCGCCCGCCCGACCCGCCAGCCTGGTTCCGCCGTTCCCGCTCCTGCCCCCTTCCCAAATCTTCCTCGTGCTCCATGCTTCTCCCTGCGTGGCATTCTCCCTCCCCGTAGGGGAACAAGAAGTGGCACAAACACGTAAAAGCTCAGTGGTCCGCGCGGATTTCTCGAATACGCGCTGGAACCCCCTCCCTGGCGCGCGGAGCGCGCCAGGGGCGGCGCCGGAGGCGCCGCCAGGGGGGTCCAGCGCCGTTCCGAGAAATCCGCGCGGACCTCCGAGTTTTTATGTTTATGCCATCTTTTGTTCCCCTAATTTTCCCTCTTACCTCCCTTTCCTCTTCTGGGGCTGCGTTGCCTACACGTGGCAAATGAGGAAGGTGTGCCCCAAAAGGGGGGTACGATCGAAGGCGAAGAGGTCGGGCATCGAGGGTTTGCATGTACATGTTGGTTGGTACGCCAGCAACTGAGAGCGATCATTCTGAAAACGACTGTTGATCCCCCGCCTCCAGTCAATTGAGATGCCCCTCCTGGGGCTCGCATTTTTTTTGCCACGGAAAGTCTTGAGGCTCAGACTGTGCCCCTGGCCGCCGGTTTACAAAAACAACGGCGCCCGCTTGTTATTTCTTCACAGTTTATCCATGAATCGCGCTCTCGCGTTGCACGTCTTCGCAATGTATTGAAATTCCGTGCCCTCGACACTCAGGAGTCACGCTCTCGCTTTGGGCGACCTCGCGATTTACTTGGGAATCGCGCTATCGCTCGAGGCCCCCTCGCGATTCATTCAGACTGACGCTTCAGCGACCCGCCCGCTCGACGCGGCCGCTTGGGCCCGCCCGACCGACACGCGCCCGCCCGGCCCGCCCGTCTGGCTCTGCCGCTTGTTTCCGTGCTCTTCCCCCCTTTCCTGCTAGTCTCTCGTGTGCTCCGTCCTTCTCCCTCCCCCCTAGTTCCTTCCCTCCTCCCCCACCTTCCATTGCTCCAGGGGCTGCGTCTACAATCGGCAAGTAAGCAGGATATGCCCACAACGGGGGGACGGTCGAAGACGAAGCGGGTGGGCATCGAGAGTTTTGGGATATACAGGTTCAGTGGCACGCGTGCAAATTGATTGTTGCATGTTCACTTCTGAAGATTGGTTGTTGCTCATCCCCTCCCAAGGTGCTCATATTGTTTTTCAAATGAAGTGCTTCCCCTGGGGCTCGCCCTTTTTTCAGGCAGGGAAAGTCGTGAGGCTCAAGCTGTGCCCCTGGCCTTTGGTTTACAACAACCGCTCCCGTCTGAAGTTCCTCACAATGTATTCCAAAGTCGCGCTCTCGCGCGGGACTTACTCACAAGTTATCCAGGAGTCGTGCTCTCGCGAGGTAGTTATTCGCAATTCATTGAAACACCGCGCCCCCAACACTCAGGAATCATTTTTTCGCTGTGGAAGCCGCTGCGATTTACATGGGAATCGCGCTGTCGCTAGAGACTTTTGCGCGATTCATGAAGGACTGATGCTTCAGCGACCTGCCCGCTCGACCCCGCCGTCTGGGTCCGCCCGCCCGATCCGCCTGTAAAGGTCCGCCCGCCCGACCCGCTAGTCTGATTATACCTAGTGTTTCTATGTTCCTTCTTTCCCTCCTGCTAATCTTTGTCGTGCTCCATCATTCTCTCTCCCCCTTGTCCCTTCCTTCCTCTTTTTCTAGTGTTTTAGGGGCTGCGCCATCTATACGTGGCAGGTCGTGGCAATATCACCCCCAAAGGGATGGGATCGAACACGAAAATGACGGGTATCGATGGTTTGGGATGTACATGTTGGCTGACGCGAGCAGGTATCCAATAGTTTTAAGCTGAATGCTGATGGTTGTTGTTGGTGCTGGTGCTTCATCCAACGTGTACATCCCAGACCCTCGATGCCCACCCTCTTCGTCTTCGATCGTATCCCCCTTTTGGCACATATATATATATATATATATATATATATATATATATATATGGGGGGACACTGAGGGCAGCGATGGGACCATGAAGGGCAGCGAGGGGGGCACTGAGGGCAGCGACGGGGCCGCGAAGGGCAACGAAAGGGCCGCAAAGGGCGACGGCGGGGCCACGAAACGCATGCATTTGGAACCGCGACGGGCGCGAGCCAGCGGGGGCCTCGAATGGCATGCGCACATGGGGCACGAAGGGCGGCGCGGGGGCCGCGCAGGGCTACGTGGGGGCCACGAAAGGCAGCGATGGGGCCGCGAAGGGCTGCGACAGGGCCACGAAGGGCAGGGCGACGAAGGGGTGCAACGGGGCCGCGAAGGGCAGCGAGGGGGCCGCGAAAGGTTGCAACGGGGCCCTGTTCCTCTTCCTCCTCCTCCTCCTCCTCCTCCTCCTCCTCCTCCTCCTCCTCCTCCTCAGGCTCCGAGCCCGCGCAGGCCCCCCCAGATAGCGGAGTCCCTCAGGAGGAACCCAGGCCGCGATGGGGGCAGCCGTGCCCGCGGGGCAGCCATGGTGGCCAGCGTGCCCCCCCGCGGGCGCGGGGGCTGGCGAGCACGCCTGGTGCTTTGGTGCGTGGTGCTGTGCATCGTCGCCGCCCAGCAGGAGGAGGCGGCGATGGCAGACCCGAGGGAAACGTTCATCGCCGTCTACATCCCGCAGAATCTTGTCGCGGCGTCGCGGGTCGACGCAGTCTCGAGCGCGCTGAAGAGTGTTGGGGTCATCGGCTTGCCTGGCACGGGCGTCCGTGCCTGGCGCGGGGAGCAGCATCATCGAGCGGGGGCTCCGCGCCACCACATCATCCACTTCGGATGGTCCCGCTCGGCGATGGTGAGCAAATCTTGCGGCTGCTCCATCTTCCGGTCGAAGAAATATTTCAGCGTGTACAGCGCCAAGAGGATTATCCCAGCGTCAGCGGGCCTACGAGGACGAGGAGGCTTTGTGTATGTGGAGTCGGGCCCCCTGCTGCTGGCCTTGCTTGTGTTGCGCTACCCGCCTCGGCCGTCGCGCCCAGGTGAAGCGAAGCTCTGGAAGTCTACGTGTAAGCACCTCACCGCTTGGGCTCGCGAGATCTTACCCCAGGTACCCCGCAGATATACACCAGTAGTCATGGCGGACCTGAACTCGGGCCTGCGGCGCTACAATCTCGACGACGACGTGGCGGGCGACCGCGGCAGCGCCCGCGAGACCTTCTGCGGGGAGATTTTCCACGAGCTGCTCGACTAGATGGAGATGGCGGCCGCGGCTCGGGGACTTGTGCGGTGGGCATGTGCCTGGAAGCGGACGGGGGAAGCTATTCGAGCGATGAAGGCGGTCCTGGGCCACAGCCTTGTTGTAATGAATTTTCAGTCGGTCGCGCCAGTCAGCGCCCGCCCCCTTCGTGAACGCTGGGGCCGCCAGCGTCTGGCTGGCGCAGTGCAAGCGGGGGCGGGCAGAGAGGAATTCCTGGAGGATGGCCACAACGCGCTGCTGGAACTATGTCCTTCTTTGGATATCCTGGGATCTAGGCCGACAGTGAACGGTCGCGCGACGCTGGCGACGGCGACTATCAGGCAGGTGGCTCTGCGCCATTTTTCTCAACAACAGATGCGACCAGAATGCGAGAAGCAGCTGGGGGGACGAAAGTGGGAGTACCCAGAAAAAGCGCTAATGACCCAGGTCAAGGCATCCTCCCTCGAGATGGCGCGGCTGGACATGACGATGATAGAAGTGCGTTCGACGGGAGATGCTATTCGCAGTGATTCACGGGCGTTGCTTGGACTCCGACGGCGACGAAATCGAAAAAGGCAGCAGTTCACGGGGCTGGAGCCGAAGCAGGCCCGGCGCATTCGAGACATGCATGCGGTGCCGAGAGTGGCAAGATCGCTCGCGAGAGCAGGCGTAGGAGTGGAGAATCGCAATTATCGGGTCCATGCTTCATGTAACCCAACAGGAGACGAGTGGGTCGAGTATCTTGCCAAATCAGCGTTGGAAGGGGGGCTCTCTGGTGTCGAGGTCTCTGTGCCGATGCGCCGCAACCTGACGGGCGAACGCTTGGAGGCACTACGGAATGCAGATGAGCGCGCCCGCCCCGACGATGACGATATACCGCAGTCACCCCTTGTCAGTGCTCAGAAGGACTTCGACATGACGCTGAAGGCCCTTCGGGGGACAAAGATTGGCAAGTCTGCCCCTTCCTGGTCGTGCCCGTCGGAGTTTTTCAAGCTATTGGTAGCGCCGTCTTGGGTCAGCACCCCTGCAGATTACGTCGAGCAGAGAGCGGGTCTGGGGTCTCGCCCAGCAGCCCCCATGGAGGAAAACCCACGGGCGCCCGACCTGCGTGCGAGGAACCAGCTGATCCACCGGGAGAAGTACAGCGATCCTGGCCGCCGCCTTTTCCGACTTGTGCTACGCGCGAGACGGGTGCGACGATTCTCCCAGCAGGCCTCCATGTCCTATGTTTTCGCCCCCGACGAGAGGAATGGCGCGCCGGGGCCAGGGGGTCGCCGCCTGGTACGTTGCATGTGTAGCTGGTGGCGAGCAGTTGTTCGTGGTGGCCCCTTGCGCGGAGGGGCTTTGCGCCCCCCCGAGCGGGCGTTCGCCGCTCGGGGCCGCCGCCGCGAGCACCTCGCGATGGCGACGGGGATTGCGGCGTGGAAGGGCCACAATGTAGGACAACCGACGCAGCGCAAGAGCTACTATGCGACGAGCGCCTGCGGCTGCGGGGACAAGGCCCGAATCGAGGAGGGCGCCCGCGCCCGCCAGGGGGCCGCAGCCGACGAGCTCGAGGAGGAGGGCGTGGAGTACGTGACGACCATCTCCAGGCTCAGGCGGCAGTCGTTCGCCGTGATCGCGCCGCGCGCGGGCGCGGAGGTGCCGATCAACAGCGGCGCGGGGGGCATGGTGGGCGATGCCTCCGAGCCCGAGCTCTTCGTGTTCAACTACCGCATAGCGGTCCAGAAATGGGCCCTCGTGGGCCGGGCGGCGACGGAGAAGGCGATGCTGATAGACTTCGATGACCGCCTGCCCGCGATCGATGCGAGCCCGGGCGGCTTCATGGATGACTTCTTCAAGACGCAGCTGGTCCCGACCAGCATCCGCGCGGCCAAAGAAGTGGCGAACCTCTCACAGAGGAAAAGTGCAGGCTTGGGCCAGGCGCTGGCAGCGAGGAAGCACGGTCAGAACAGATCGAAGCGGACGTGGCCGTTTCCTTGGGCTCTCGGCAGTTGGCGCGACAAACCATCCAGGCCCTCTCCCGCGGCGGCTGCAGGGGCGGGCGCGAGCTGAAGTACCTGGGCGGCTGGTTCGACGCAGTGGGCTCCGATGCGACCGAGCTGCCCTCGCGGCTGGCAGCCATCAACAAGGGCTGGGTGATGGCGCAGATTTTCTGGAACGCAGCCGCCCCCAAGCGCGTCGAGCGCCTCATGTTCATTGGCTTGGTCTCGGGGGCGGCTCTGCCGGGCACTGCGGCGCGTTGTTGGGCGGGCGCAGAGGCTCGATACATGTGCAGTTCAATTTCGAGGAAGTTGAGATCGATGATGGGTGGGGCGGCCAGAAGGCAGAACGATCGTGTGACGGTGATGACGACGAGGGAAGTCTACAGGTTATGGGGCCTCGCCCCGTTCAGTCTGGAAGCGACAGTGCAGCGCCTCCGCGCGTGGCAGGAGATTGCGCGCGACCCGAGGAACCGCGGCCGCATCCTCGGGGTCTTCTTCGAGATGACGCGGGGGGCGACCTGTGAGCACCGTTGCCCACCAACGCATGTGGATTCTGGGCAGTTCAATGCAGATGCTGTAGTTCACCCCTGGGCGCGCCAGCTGCGACGCGACCTGGAAGTCCTCTGCGGCTGCTCCGAGGCGGAGTCCTTTTCGCTTGCCTGGGAGAACCGCTCTGTGAATGACTTGCCCTGGGACGAGGAGGTGAACGGCCTCTTTGTCTCCCTTGACGCAGGGTGCCTGCGGAGCGCCTTCGCTGCAGTGCAGTGGGCGCCGCCAGACGCGCCGGAGGCGTCAGTGCCCGTTGCCCAGGACGGGGAAAACAGCTGGGAAGATTCGGGAGCTCAGATGTTCGCATGTCAGATCCGAGGAGACCCTGAAGGCCCCATATGTGGATGTGTACACAAATCGCGCGCAGCACTAGTAGCACATGCATGCCAATCACGACATGCAGGACGCGGAGGACACAGTATCTTTCACGCACTCACACCGAGCAATGCATGCATCAACTGTGGCGCGACATTCCAGACGAAGACCGGAGACGGCGCGGCACCTTGCACGCGCGCGGCACGCAGGGCGGTGTATCACGCACAGCACGGCGTACCCCTACGAGTTCAAAGATATGAGCATTCGCGAGTGTGCACTATGTGGCGTGGAGCTCCCTACGCACGAGCAACTCCGTAGTCATCTCTGCTCTCGCCTGCCGCCGACGCAGGAGGGGCGTTCCATATCGATAGCGAAGCCTCGACCAGCACCTGCAGAGCCCCGCCCTAGGCGCCGCTTGTCACAACCGCTGGGTGCTGAACGCCTGTGGGGCTCCGACATTCGCGCAGCTGCTGGCCTGTTCGTTCCTGCTGCAGGTGCTTCGACGCGCGCCTCGTCGGCGGCGGCGGCAGGCGGCACTGGCAGTTATGGGGGCCGAGAAGTTCGGCCGCTGGCGCCCGCGGGCGGGGGGCCCATCGGGCAGCTCACGGAGCGGAGGGGCACGGCCCAGGCCAGACGGCGAGGAGGACGCCAGCCGCGCGAGCCAGAAGGACGGCCAGGGGGTGCGCTTGGCCAAAGGGGCAGCGGGCGAGGAGGGCTCCGCGGTGAAACCAAGGGCGAGGCGAGGAGGACGACGCCGCGCGGAGGCCAAGGGGCGCAAGCTGGTGGTCAAAGACGCTGGCCTCCAGGAGCTCCTCCTCCACCTCTCGATGCTCGTGTCGCAGCTGGCGCAGCGGTCCAGGGCGATGCGGGGGGTCGCTGCGAGAACGGCGCTGCTGGCGGAGAAGTCGCCCGCGGTCAAGGCGAGGCAGTCCGAGAGCCAGGACTTCTCCCATATCGCCGACAACATGCGCGCGGAGGTCAGCATGCAAGCTACAGGATAAGTCCAAAGCGGCAGGGGGCACGGACGCGGCCGCGTCCAGAGAAGCAGACTTAGAAGCGGAGAAGGTGATGCAGTAGCTGAGGAACCTCGGCCCGCCGGCGCCAGCCGTGTTCTGCGCCGCGATCGAGGCGCTCGCGAATGAGGAGATCAGCAAAAGAAGGCTCGAAGACGTGATGGCGGCGCTGCTGGCCGAGATGCAGGAGGCCCCTTCCGCCTTCGTTCGCCCGTGCCGCCCCGAGAATTGCAAGCATGCCGACGCGCTGAAGGTGGTCTTCGCGCTGGATCGGGTGGACCTCGAGATGCAGGTGATGGAAGCCTCTAAGTCGATGGGGGCGGTGACGACGGTGGGGGCGGCCCCGAGTGGCTGCCTGGAGGAGGGGATCTCAGCCTGGATCGACGCTCTGAAGGATTAGGATTAGACAGCTTCGCTGACTTGCCCGTGCAGTGGCCAGAGGCGGAGGGCGATGTCCTCTTCGAGGCCTGGCTCTAGCTCAGACCTGAAGGGCGCGGGCACCGCGCCGTGGCCATAGTGCTACGGCAGTGCGGCCTCGCGCGCCCGGCAGACGAGCCGCGCTCGGGTGCGGGCGGCGGGCGCGCGAATAGTTAGACCCCGCTCCTTTTCGCCTCCCTCGTCGCCCGTCGTCGGTCGCGGCCCTCTGCCCGTCGTTCGCCTCTTCTTTATTTCTCGGCCCCCCTCGCTCGGCCCCCTCGGCCCGCTCGGTCCTTCGTTGAAGTGCGTGCTTCTTGTGGAGACACGCGCAATGCACGCGAGCGCAGCAGTCTTTCGATTCATCGTCCCACAGCCGAGAACAAGCAAGCAAGCTCTCTCTCCTCCTCCTCCTCCTCCTCCTCCTCCTCCTCCTCCTCCTCCTCCTCCTCCTCCTCCCCCTCCTCCCTCTCCCCCCCTTTCTCCATCCCGCCTGTTCTCCTCGCGCGCCTCTCCTTCCTCTCGGCGCGGGCGCGCGTGCCGATTTTCCTCGGCGCCCTCGCCGCCGCGCTTGGCAGGCGCGCGTTCTCCGGTGGCAAAATCGCGAAGCCGTCGGGGCAGCGGCCGCTGGGGCGACCCCGCGGGCCGCTGGGGCGCGAAAGCAAGCCCCCGGGGCAAACCCCGCAGGCGCCGAGCTAGTCGCGGCCGCGCTCGGGCGGGAGGCAGCGCAGAGTCCAGCTCTGCCGCGAGCTGTTCTGCCTCAACCCTGGCGCCCACCGCCTTCCGGTCGAACTTCTCGAGCGCCTTCCGCGGGGGCGTCGGCGGCCAGCGCTTCAGGAACTCCTCGCGCGGGCGGCCGCAGCATCAGCATGTTCCGCATGCGCGTGGCGCAGGGGGGTATGGCGTGGAGGCGCAGTCGCCCCTAGTCGTCCGACGTGCCCGCGCGACCGGCGCCCTCATCTGGCGGAGTCGATGGTGTCGCCCTTGCGCGGCGTCTGGCCCTGCGACGGCGCGGAGGTCAGGTGGGGCGCGCGCGTCGGGGTGTTTCCGAGCGGCGCATTAGGTGCGGCTCCGGGCTCTGCCGCGTGAGCTCTGTTCGCTGGGCCCGAACGTGAGCAAACTCCTCGCCCGCGCCTCGGCCTCGCCGTCGTCGTCGGCCTGCGCGTGCACTTCGGCGACCTCTGTGTCGATTGGGGACTCCTTGAAGCCGTGGGCCTGCATCCAGATTCCATCTGCGGTAGGCGGCAGGGGCGAAAGAGCTGGCCCGGCGCGCGCCCCTCGTAGTCCCGCTCGTCGTCCGGGTGGAACTCGACGGGCGCGACGGTGGCCCGTTGCTCCCGCGCGAGGCCCAATTCCTTCTTCAGCTCCTCTTGCGCGGCCGTGAACCGGACCTCCGTGCCGACGCGTGCTGGTGAGGCGCCGTGAATATCCCCCGTCTTGTGCGTGTTCGGAGTGTTCAGGAGGCGCTGGCTCGCGTTTGGATCGCATTGAATCGGGGCGCGCCGAGGCGCCGCGCGTCGCGACGAGCGCGCGCGTTGATCCACTTCGCCAGCGCCTCCCAGTAGATGCCCATGCCGTAACCCAACCGCAAATTCTCGCGCTGGCACCGAGGGTCCAGGGCGCCGCGGCTGTCCGAGGCTAACGTCTTCTCCCAGGCAGACCAGACCTTTGGCGGGAAGCGCTTGCCTTCGCGCATACAGCCCAAGAGCGCGATCAGGGGGTCCCTGGGGTCGAAGCGCTACGTGCCCTTCAGCTCGAAGACGTCAGGGATCTGAGAGAAGACCTTGATGGCGCGCTGAATCTCCACCGTCGGCGGCTCGGCGTACTTGTGCGACGCGTCGCCCAGAAGCTCATTCACATCCGTCAGGAGGCCGATGCTGCCGGTGGGTTCCAGCTTCGGGAAATCTTCGAGGCGCAACGCGATGGGGGCGCGCCCGACATGATCGTGCGGCCCCTTGTAGATGGACTCCTGCACGTCGCGCGTGTCACTGCGCCCGTGGCATGCGCGAAGGTCCAGCGCGTCGTGCAGGGCAGCCTCCGCCATGCTCACTTCCTCGATGGCAAGGACGCGGGCGTGCTCCCACAACCACTTCAGCCCCTTCTGCATGCCCCCTGGCCTCATCTTCGCGTTGTTGTATTTCTGGACTCGTAGGGCACCAGCGTCGCGCAGCGTTGCGCGCAGCCGCGGGGGCCCAAAAGTGACGACAGTTACAAGGTTTGGATGGCCCGCTCCGATTCGACCGCGAGGCGCGGGCCCCATGGGGAAAAGGCCTTCGCTTGAGACTGCCTCGCAGTTCGTTCACAGTTGAGGCTTCCGCTCAAGACTTCCCAGATGTTCAAACCTCAGGCGCCGCGAAGTGACGACAGTTTCAGGACGCGGCTGGCCCGCTCGGACTCGGGCACGAGGCGCGGGCACCATGGAGAGGGGGCCCCCGCCTGAGACTTCCTCGCAGACGAGCCCCCCGCTCGAGACTTTCTCAAGATTCAAATTTCAGGGGCCCCAAAGTGACGGTTCTTACAAGGTTTGGATGACGCGCTCGGATTCGAACGTGAGGCGCGGGCCCCATAGAAAGGGGGCCACCGCCTGAGACTTCCTCGCATTTCATTCGCAAACGAGGCTTCCGCTTGAGACTTCCTCAATCTTCAAGCTTCCGGGGCCCAGAAGTGGCGACGGTTGCAGGCTTGGATGGCCCGCTTGGATTCGATCATGAGGCGCGGGCGCCGTAGAGAAAGGCCCCCCGCCTGAGACTACTTCACAATTCACTCGCAGACGAGGCCCCCATATTCAAGCCTCAGGGGCCCCAAATTGACGACAGTTACAAGGTTCGGATGACCCGCTCGGATTACCAACGTGAGATGCGAGCCCCATGGGGGGGGGTCCCACCTGAGACTTTTTCACAAATCACTCGCGCACGAGACTCCAACTTGAGACTCCCTGACTATTCGTGATGATGTTCGGGCGTGGGCGGTCATGATGATGGTGGTGATGGTGGCGGCGATGATAGTGGTAATGTGGGCGATGGTGATGATGATGGGCGTATGTGTGTGTGATGGCTGTGCGATGATGGCGATGATGATGTTGGCAAGGGCTGGTGAGTGATGATGGGTTGATGACGGTGATGGCGAATGGCGAGGAGGATGATTGCGATGCAGTTGAATGGTGACGATGATGATGGCGATGGTGATTATGAGGGTGTGTGTATGATGATGGTGGTGACGATGACGATGGCGATGATGATGGCGATGATGATGTTGGGGTGTTCCTGTTCCTGCGTGGGGGTGTCCAGAGAATACAACAACCCATTTAGCATGTGGGGAAGAATTCGGATCCTCCCTGGCTTTCTCTGTACACCTTTTTGTATTGCAATTTACATACGATTCTGCCCCATCGTCCATCCCAAGATTAAACTCGCACCATCCGAGCCCAGCCGGTTTCGACCCCCTCGCCATCTTTTACAGAAAAATAGTAAGCGCGCGCACTCGTTTATCACAAATCACAAGTCTTCAAGATTCCCGCGCAAATCACGAGACGAAGCGCGCACGCGTGCGTCGTCGCGCGCGCATGCCGCAATCCTTCAAACACCTTCGCATACGTAGAAAATTCAAAATCGAGCGCCCAAACAAACATTAAACACACAGGGTTTTGCAAAACGGGTTTCCAAGACAAGCTCGCGCGCGCGATCGTGCGAATTCTTAAGCAAACCATCGTTTTCTCAACATGTTCATAACATGCTACCAAAGGGCTTCGCGCGCGCATGTCGAAATCGTCCGAGCGCCCTTGCGCGCGTGCTGGTGTGGCACGATCCGTGTCAAATAATGCCATGCGGGCCCCTCGCGCGCCTGCCGCGCGCGCATTTCGAACTCCTTCCAAACCTTCATCACCGACGCGAAGACGCCGTCATCGTCGCCGGCGTGATCAGCATCGGCGCCGTCATTGGCTGCCCTGCCGTCGCAATCAGCATCGCCACCAGCATTGTTATTATCATTATCGTGTCTCTTATTGTCGACATTGCCATGATACCGCGCCCGCCCAAGTCGACGACGCGCACTGAAGTGCCCGCTGGTATATGCCGAGCGGTCAGCGCCACCGCGTTCGCGGTAGTCGCGCCAAACTAGCTGGCCGCTGCGCGCGCGTGCTTGGGTAGGTGCGGCCGCAGAAATCCACCATCCAACGCCAAGCATGCATCGCAATCGCCACCGCATGGGCTTTGCAAACCAAGTTGAGGGTGGGTGGGTGGGATGTTTGCAAAAGCGTGGGATGTGCCAACTCGTTTGTTTAAATCAATTCCCCAGTCTAAAAACATAATAGGATCTACCCCCACTCCCCCCGGCGTTATCGCTTCACCTTTCGGGTATGTAAATCATATATGATTCTGACCACATGTCCATCGTAAATATGAATTTACGTTATCCCAGAGGGGGCGGGTATCCCCCCCTGAGGTTCCCTTGTAAAAAAAAACTCAATGCGGTGACATTTCTTGTTCTAACATAGCACTTTTTCACGAATCCGTTGCAAAACATGGGACGAAGTGCGCACGCGCGCGTCGTCGTGCGCGCATGCCGAAATCCTTCAAAAACCTTCGGTGCCGGAGGGATTTCGCAATCAAGCTTCCAAACAAAAAAACAAACATACAAAACACACAGGGTTTTGCAACACTGATTTGCTAAAAGAATCTTAAGAACACCATCGGTTTTTCAAGATTTTTACAACATGCTACCGAACGGGCTTCGCGCGCGCGCATGTCGAAATCTGTCGAACGCCTTTGCGCGTGTGCCGTCGCGAGAGTCTTTTTGCAAAACATGGGACGAAGTTCAGACGCGCGCGTCGTCGCGCGCGTATGCTGAAATCCTTCAAAACCCATCGGTTTCGGAAGGATTTCAAAATCGTGTGTCCACAAAACATACAAAAACACAAGGTTTCGCAACACGGATTTTCAACAAAAGCTTGTGCGCGCGCGCTCTTGCGTCGTCGTCGTCGTCGCCGTCCTCCCTCCTCCCGTGTCGTCGTCGTCGTCGCCTACGTCGTCGTCTGTCTTTTCTCGTGTTCGTCTTCGTCGTCCTCTTTGGCGTCGTGGTCGTTTCCGTCGTCGTTGTCGCCGTTGTCGTCGTTCCTCCTCCTCCCTCAGCGTCGTCGTCGTCCGTCGTCGGCGTCTCGTCGTCGTCCCTCCTATTTCGTCGCCGTCGTCGTCGTCGTCGTTGTCGTCGTCGTCTTCCTTCCTCCCTCGTCGTTGTCGTCGTCGGCGTCGCCGTCCTTCCTCCTTCGTCGTTCGCGTCGTCGCCGTCCTCCCTCCTCCCTCGTCGTTGTCGTCGTTGTCGTCGTTGTCGCCGTCGTCGTCCTTCCTCCTCCCTTGTCGTCGTCTTCTTTGACGTCGTCGTCGTCGTCTTCGTCGTCGTGGGCGTCGGCGTCGTTGTCGTCGTCGAAGTCGTCGGAGACGTCGTCGGTGTCGTCGTAGTCGTTGTCGTCGGTGTCGTCGTAGTCGGTCTTAAGAGGTTATGCAAACCAAGTTGCGGGTGGGTGGGTGGGATGTTTGCAAGAGCGTGGGATGTGTCACATCATGGGTAAAAACCAATTGCACCACCTAGATTGCACCACGTTGAGTGCATCACCGGGGTTGCACCGCATATGTTGCAATAAATCACTGATTGCGGTCCGCGCAGGCGAACATTTTTCTCTAGACATGAAAACGCAACAGCAACAACACATGTCATATTGCTGTTCATTTTTATATGTTCGCGTCTCACTGAACGTGTATTTTCCGAACCCCCGATGCCCAATCTCTTTGACTTCGATCGCGCCCCCTTAGGGGGCAGACCTCCTTCATCTGCCGCGTGACATTGGCGCAGCCCTTCAGCCAAGGAAAAGGAGGGAGGAGGGAAAGGACAAGTGAGAGGGAAAACCATGGAGCACGAGAGAGATTAGCAGGCGGGGGCGTTTGGAGGAGGAAAACAAACAGCAAAACCATGCGGGGGCTGGCGGACCCTGACAGACAGGTCGGGCGAACGGGTCCATACGGCCGGGTCAAGCGGGCGGGTCGTTGAAGGGTGGGTCGTGCATTCGCCGCGAGGAAGTCTCGACCGATAGCGCGATCCTTGAGAAAACCGTGAGGAGGTCTAACGCGGGAGCGTGATTCCTGAGGGTAGAGGGTGCGGCGTCTCAATAATTTGCGAGAAGGTCTCACGCGAGAGTGCGATTCTTGGAATACATAGCAAAGAACTCTAAAGCGAAAACCCAACTTCGAATGAATTGTGATGGAGGATCAGGCGGGAGCCGTTGTTGTAAACCTGGGGCCAGGGATGCAATCTAAGCCTATATACATGTCTTTGTGAAAGCAGGGTGCAAATCCCGGGAGGGGCTCTTCAATAGGAAAAACACAACGGGCACCAGTGGGGGGTCAATTGTAATTGTTCATCATACGCGGGAATTTAACCAACACAAGTGATAATATTCTGGGCAACGGAATCCAATTTCACCCACGCACGCAAGGATGGTGTACGGTCGGACCGATGTATAAGATCGAGGTCGGTTCGGCGAGGGTATGCTCTTCGTGTCACTTGGATGTTTTTGTGCATCCTGGAGGAGGGCACCCTAGAAAGTTTTTCGGCTTGGGCCGGCGGAGGGTCCCATGTTCTTGAAGGATGCTCTTCTGTCTTAGGTCCGGCTGTTAGGCCGTTCGGCACCTTCTGACTATCCACAACCACCGTTCTCGAGCCCTCGTCGCACGGCCCCGCGGCGGTGGATACGGGCATTTGCTGGCGGCCTGCAGGAGCATGCCGCAGTTCCCGATGAGCTCGCAGCGCGGCGAGATTGCGGACGCGCGGCTTACGGGGCCCGTGTCGAGGAGTCATACGAGGAAAGAGCATTGTCTGCGGACGACACGCGTGCACCGTAGCGCGTTGGCGCCTTTCGAGGCGTTGTCGATGTTCGACCCAGGAGTGATACGGTGCGTAGATTTTCGGTCCTCGGGGCCGAACGAACTATCCACCATGCCGCGCTGGAGCGGGATCTAAATGGAGTCCAGTCATGGTACGGTGCATGGGCGTCTTGCTCGCATACAGGTAATTACCGCTACCATTCTTTCGTTTTCGCCTTTTTGGGGCCTCTTCGGGGGCTTAGTCGCCACGATCTTGTTTTTTCACCAGTGATCTCGCAAAGTCCGTTACGGGGGTCGCCCCCCCTTTCTACCCCCCTTTCCGTTTATTCTTGGCTCCAGCGGTTTTAACATAGTATTTGGGTTTACATTATCGCAGCCCTTCACTCATTCCCCACCCGACAGGTTGGGGCTGTTACTTTTTTCAAGAACAGGCCCCTCGGCCAACCCTACCCTGCATACCGTGGACGTCAGACCCCAAGTTGTCTCGATGATCCCCGAGAGTCCCGGGTATCCCGCCTCTCGCCCAGCCAACCCCACCCTGCATACCGCGGCCGCCAGACCCCAGATTGTCCCGATGATCCCCGAGAGTCCCGGGTATCCCGCTTCGCGCCTGGCCAGCCCCGCCCTTCATACCGCAGCTGCCAGACCCCAAGTTGCCCATCCCCGAGAGTCCCAGGTGTCCCGCCTCGCGCCTTCGACGAATACGACAGGACACAACATGACAGTGTAGAACATGACAGAACGAAACAGAGCATGACATGCTATGACGGAACATAATACATAAATATCATGACAATGTAGAGCATCACATAGCATCACATGACATACCATAGTAAAACATGGCATAACAGAATGCGATGTAACACAGCATAACATAGCGTAACCGAGAGTAAACTAACACACCTCGACAGAACACATCATATCATTGCGAAGCATTCCAGAACATAGTATAGCCTGAGAGCAGAGCATAGCGACGACGAACACGACAGCACACAACATGACACAACATACCATGACAGAACAGATCACGAGGATGACAGACCATGGCAGAACATAACATAGCGATGCCATGACAACGTACATAGTAGCGGAACATCACATACCGTACCAGAGCATAACATGACATAACAAAACAGAAGGCATAACACAACATAACACAACATAGCATCACCGAACATCACATAACACAGTTTGGCATAACATATAATATCATGACACAAAATCACAGAACACATCATATCACGAGAGGAGGGCACAGCGACGGCGAACATGACATAACACAACATTACATAACATAGCACGAACATGACAACATATGACATAGCATAACATAGCAATGTCATGAGAAACTATAGCATAAGATGACATCACATAACATATCAGTGCAGTACATGACAATACCTAAGACGACATAACACGATCTATCATATCATAACCGAGCATTGCACAACACACCTTGACCTAACATATCATACCATGACCAATTATTACAACACAAATCAGAACACAGCAGCACAGCATGGCAACACATACAAGCATATCATACCATATTATATGGTAACGAGCCGAGCCATCAACACACAAACCATAACATGATCTACCAGATCGCAGCATGCCATAACATAAGGCATATCACACCATAATATACCATAGGCGTGCGTAACATAACACACCATGAGGTAACATATCATAACATGACACAGCATCACAAAACACATTAACCCGACTGCGAAGCATAGCGAAACATATTAGCATACCATATCAGAAGAAGTATTACACCGAGCCGAGCTGTCAACACATGGAAGACTTCACCCATGTTGGCTCCAAGCCACCAGAAAGATAACTCTTGCAGCGGAGCTGGCGTCGTTGTGCTCCCGCGACGCACCCGGCGGGCGACCGCGCGCGCACAGCGCGCCATATTGCCGAATTTCGGCGAATTCGGCCGTCATCATCACGGCGAAGCTTTTCGCGCCGACCCTCAGCGCCCTCTATATCTACGTGTGCGACAAGGGCGCCCCCGCGAACGTAGACGGCCACCAGGAACAGCCGAAATGCGTTTCCATTCACAACGCGAGCCACGAGCAGCACTCTCTCATCGACCCTGTCGTTCTCCCAAGGTTTGTTTCTACTTTGACCTCTTCGACTTTTTCATCATTCCGCGACAGCTACGACGTCGTCGCCACGGCGGCGAGGGTCCAAGAGGGCTCCGACACAGGCTTCGACATCGAGGAGTTCACCAACGATTGTGAAGAAACTGGATCAAGATGAGAGACGCCGGGGGGTCGCAAGTCTTGCTCTAGAGCTGCGACCTTTCCGAGACAAAGATCGACTACGTCAAGCTTCACGTCAGCAGCGATGTGGCACAACATTCGGCCATCAAGGGCTTGCTCGTGCCACTGGGCAGCAACGTCACTCGCAACGCCAGTCGGCGTTTTCCACATATCACGATGGCAACGAGCGCGACCTCAGCGAATTCCATTAGATCTTGCATGAGGCATCTGACATAGAGGATTGCGAATGGGGCTGGTTAGGAGTCGAAGGATGGAGCGCAATTCAATATTGCGAATGGTATTACATGGTCCACGACGACACCTGAGTGCAGCGCGACGAAAATGGCGAACGCGTGGGCGAGTGCTACATCAAGGACTGCGTCACCTACAATGGTGGCTTTGGTGGTCGTTGCCGTGGATTCGGACGAGGCGAAGGTTTTGCCCGCGGCAAGGGGGGGGGGGGGGGGGGGGAGGGGGAGAGGGGGGGGGCGCGACCAAGAGCAATATTCAAAGCAAAGGCAAGAAGTCCAGCGTCGGCTCGCGCGGCGGCGGCAAAGGCTGACAAGGGGGCGGCAGTGGCGGATGCCGCGTCTGTGGAGGCAAGTCGCATCGCGCAGTGCAGTGCCCGACAGAGCGTCAAAGTCGACAGCGGCGCGAGCATCGGCGCCGCGACCTCAGGAACTCAGCGGCGATCCAGAGGCAAAGGCAGCGGCGAGGGACAGGGTATCAGACGCTACGCCAATCGGGAAAACGGCTCCAAACTGGGTGCCTTCCGCGCGTGCAATTTCTTCTCTGGCTGGCCGCGTCTGTCCGACGCCGAGCAGCCATTTCCAACGCCCGCAGATGGACGTCCGCCACGCACGTCCTTCTCCATTGCCAGCGCCATGCCCGGCGCGATGCCTGCGACGATTCACGAACGTTGATAGGCGATTCTACAGGCTTATGCCACATCCGCCGACCCCTTGTATTCCTTGTGATAGCAGCGCGAAGTCGTCAAGCATCATTTGTCGTTTTCTCTTGTCTTGCAATGTCTGGTCCCTGCAGCGTGGCATTCAATGCACCTTACCTTTCGTTTGTAACCTTCGTTTAGGATGCAATATCTTATGATAGCATTCAGTGCAGCTTACCTTATGGTTGTCTTACTTTGAGATGCAAGGGGCTGGGCTCCGGCCCGCCCGCGCCGCCCCTAAGGGGCCTGCCGGCCCGTGAGGCGTTTTCCCACAATCGGGGAAGCACGCGAAACTTTCTGAGAGTTATCGGTGAAACTCTCACCACAATTTGGAAGACCTGGTCAGCTCCCCGTCAGGCGGTTTTCCGCAATCGGGGAAGCATGCAAGACCTTCTGAGCGTTATCGGTTAAGCCCTCAGCATTCGAGAAAACTGGGCGTCCCAAGTGGTCCCAAGACGGTTCAAGAGGGCCCCGATACAGTCCAAAAGAACCCCTAATAGGCCCCAAGAGGACGGCCCAGAAGACCCAGGGCAAATAAAGAGTGATCGGTAACGCAGAAAGCTCATCACGCCAAGGCTCCCAACGGCGAAAGCGGGGAGAGACAGCTTTATCCCGATACCGTCAAGACGGCCGAAGAGGGCCTTCTCTTGGCGGCCTGTTGGGGCTCTCTTGGCGGCCTCTTAGGGGCTCTCTTGGGGAGCTCGTGGTGCTTTCTTAGGCCTCTCTCGGTGTCGTCTTGAGGCCCTCCTCGGGCCGTCCTGGGGACCTCTTGGCCAGCCACCAACAGGCTTCCAAAAGGTCCGCTCCCAAGGGGCCGAGGCGGAAGGGGTGGAGGGGGAAGGGAGGATGGATGGGGAATGATGCAGATGGGG